CATTCGTAGACTGCAGAGCAGATGTACCTTAGACTGGCCTAAGAAGAAAAGCTTGAGATGCCTGTTAGAGTGAGAACATGTCCCAGGAGTAGCTCAGCCACTGGGAGGAAAGTAGCCAAAATTCAGGCATCTGCCACTTTTGTGGCAGATTGGAGAGTGAGATGGGAGAGGTGAAATTTTAACAAAACATCAGCTCTGTGGACTCCACTGGCATGCATATAAAATAAGCAAAACAAGATGTCTTGGTATACCAGCAAAAAAGCCCCATCCATTAAAAATACTTCAAAAAGTAGAACAAGCTAATGAGAAAGAGCGAAGTAAGTCTGCGGGAGGAGCATGGTGGGTGTGTGGAAACTTCTCTGTAATAGCCTTCAGAAAAGCTAAATGCAAAATGCTGCCAAACACAGTATATGTAGAGAGATCTTAAGAAACCAAAGATTCAGTAAAATACCAAAATCCCAATGCGGCTTCTTGGCTAGCTCAACCAGGTGACTCTGCCCTACAAAGGACAGTTCAATTTTATTTTTCTTAGATGATGTGTATTTCAACTGATGATGCTTTGGGATGGTATTGAAGAAGGTATCATGTGCTGTTTACTTTTTGCCGATGCAGAAAAATGCTGTAGACCAGGATGTATAGCCTGCCTGTGGTTAAGTTGATGTGCTATGGAGTTGAGAAGGAAGTTTGAAGCCTTAAAGGATTTTTCCTGTATGAAAAGCTTCAGGCTGAAAAGTTGGGGGATTACTGATCTAGCAGTTTTCTTGAATGTAGAAAGCGCAAGCTGTCACAGTGACTGTAGTTATAAGCACCTGATGCCTTGTGTATTTACAGCCTCTAAAAGTAAGGTGCTAATGAATTTATATGGGGTACAAGCATTGATATTTCCATTACTCTACATGTGAAATTTCTGAAGTGATGTTGGTAAATCGGTACTAGTCGGTAAACTAATGCATTGCCTGCCCAATTTATTGATGCCAGTGCACTAGGGGACAGGCAGTGTTGCCTAAGTGCTTTAGCAAGGAATGTGTCCTGTCTTGCCTTTGGTCGTAGATGGTCAGGATGAGCGCTTTCTCCATGCTACACCAGCACCAGAGCATACTCTGCACTGGCCCCTCACCTGCACCTTGGTTTCATGGGAAGAATACTCAAATCTGCAGCCCAGAAGGGAGCAGTGATGTACTCTGGTCCAGCCCCAACCTGGAGACTTCTGGCAGTGTTCAGGCTATGCTTTTGCTTATGTATTGCTTTGTCAAATACAAGTCTAAATGAAGGTGGTGTGTGAATTGCTATGATGTACCTTATCTGTTTGGTTAAACAGGGTAATATTTACTGTTGGTTGCCATCTTCCTGATTTCATCCCAGTCAAAGCATCCATTAATTTTTTCCTAATTTATGCTAGCAGAAATTGTTTTAGAATCAGGCTTGATGTATTTATTTCAGTATTTTTTTTCGAGACTATATGCTATGAAATATCTTTCAGACCCTCCACCCCTCAATAAAATGTTCAAACCTAAATGTACTTTTTGTCAGTTATGTTATATTCTGAATGTCACTTAATATAGCCAATATAGAAGGATAGGTAGGTTCTGTGTTGATTTTATTTTCTGGCATTCTTACTTGATGGCAGTGGTGTAGTATGAGGGTTACAGAATTCAGAAAGAGGTATACTTATAGTCACCTTTTTGATGGGATGTAGTTTTAATGAAAGGTGTCTTTTAACCGACCCATCCTTTACAAAGAACATCTACATTCCTTTCACCAAGAATATGTTTGTTGCCTGATTCAGAGCTAGTCTAAAAAGAACAAAAAATGTTGTGTTAGTTTATTTCTTCCTTAAGCTGCATGAAGAAAACACAGGAATATTTCTTTGCATTTAACAATAACTTTTTATTACTTTAAAATTTCAAATTTTCTGTGCTCTGGAAATTCTGTGTATGACTGAGAACAGCTGGGTGAATATCATCATAAATGATTAAAAGGGAGATATTTTGATGCAGACTATTTAATTGTTTTTCTGAAGCCAAGCACCTATTTGACTAAGATCCTAGTGAAGAAAAGTACCTACTAGAAAGATACAACAACATCCTGCTCCTTTAGATGTGGCCAAGGCTGCTCTGAGCTCAGATGACTGCATTGAAGATTCAGGTGCTCCCTGTCAACAGTTTGAATGACTTTGTGCCTACAACCACTCCAAAAGGAAGAGCAAAGAGGGAAATGAAGCTTTTTAACAACTCATTTTTGTCCTCTCTAGGTTACTGAACCGGGCAATTTTTTCTCTTCCTACTGTCTTGATGGATTTCAGTGAGCTAGGGAGGAGAAAGGCTCAAAATGCACTGTGGAATCTAACTTTTGTATATGTTATTTGCTTGCTTGTTTAACTAGGGACAGGGGGCCCTGTCTGAGAGACTAAGGAGCTTTAGCATGCAGGATCTCTCGACGATTCGTGGAGACAGCAGCAGCACTGTTCCTCCTTCGGTCACTGTACGAACAAGTAGCAAACAGAGCCAGCCAAAAACATCCAGAAGTGCATCAGAAGGCACTGGCAGCTCAGGTAAGTGCTGGTGTTATTTTCAGTGTTGTACTGTCTGGAATATCACACAGCTGAATGAAGTCATGCAGTTGGCAGGAATATATAGAAACAGACCTTGCAGGCAGCACATACCAGAATTCACAGGACACAGACACGCTGCTGAGTCTCTTGGCACTTAAGAGAAAAAACAGTATCATCATTTGATGGTTACTATTCCTGTCTGATACCAAGGACTACACTTGAACGTGCAAGGGAGTCAGCATCAGTCCTTGTAACTTGAGCTGAAAAGTTAGGCTCTGGACTGAGGGCTGCAAGCTGTGGTGGATTTTCAATGAGAGAGGCTAACTGAAGTGCAAAAAGGGGGGATAAGAATGCACAGTGGTGGGCAAGGGTCATCTTTATCAAAGCCTCTCTCTTTTATGTCATCTAAACATAAATGTGAGTTGTAATGGATATCTGGTTTGAATTAGGCCCACTTGTGCTTCTTCTGAACAGTACAGTAGCTGCTATAACACTTGACAGTTGTAGTTTCAGAACTTTATTACTGATGAAACCTACTGAGAAATAAAACCCATATAAAGCACTCCTAAAGCAGAGACCAAAATCTGACAGCTGTTTACGATATGAACGATGTCTGCATAAGCACTGTTATGGAAAACAAGTCGCTCTGAAGGGTAATGGTTTGTTTTCAAATTCTGAAAGAACAAAGGGAAGAAACATCATGGTGGGAATAAGATCCATTCCTGAGGATTTACTTACAAAAATTTATTTCAAGCTTGGTTGAAGTAATCTTTGTGAGCCCAGGTCCAAAACATTTAATTGGAGATAGGTTCTCAGATTAGATTTCACAAATTGAGACATGGAGGGTTATCCCAAGCAGGGGGTTACAGATGGCTTCTGGGATTCCCAAACACCACCAAAGATCATGCAACTTGACGGCTGTGATGAGAAGCCACAGAAAGTTGCAGGCGTGTTGCACTTGGTAGCTTGTGAAACATATGTTGGCAAGGCTGAAATTTAGCAGTTTTAGCTTGTGTGTGTTGAGGTCTGTGCAAACATTCACTGTGTTTCAAGCCTGTGTAGATTGCTACCCTTCTAGTTTGCTTTAGTTTTGGAATGTGTTAGAAATGTCTTCTTTCGTTCCTCCTAAAGACTATCATTCAAGTCCTTTACAAATTCTGAGAATTCCAACTTCTCTGTTTGGATTTCTTTTTTTTTTTTTTTAACATCATCTGTTGAATAAATTCTCTTTACGGGTAAACTGAAACAGCTAATGTTGGTGCACAGTGATTTTATTCTGATGTTAACGTAAGGTTTTGTATATACTTCTCTTGAAATAATCAATCTGAAAGCCAAGTGTTCACACACAGAATATAAAACTCTTCCTCAAAAAAAAAAATCACATATCATTTGGACCAAAATAACAAATGGCACAAAACCCCCCATAATTTAGTTATCTAATTCCATGTTGTGTACAGCAGCCTTTGTAGTTTTGTTCTTAAGGCAGTGAACTCAGCTCACCTGACCACAAGCTCCTGTCTTAACAGACAATTTTTTTTTTATTTTGATCTGGTTTCATATTAATGCTGTACAAGGGTCTCTCAAAATGAATCTCTGCAAAATTTAATTGTTCATAAACTTTTTAAACTGAGCCTAGTGTTTGTCACAAATTTCTGGATCCAAGTCATTTGAGGGTTTGTTTTTAATTCTTTTTTAATGAAAACAACACGAATTTGCAAAATCTGCCAAAACCTTTATCTGTCCCATCTCAGTTAGTGGTTCCATTGAGGTCCCTAACCTAGGAAAACCTGCTTGCAGGCCCCTTCTCCATCCACAGACAGTACGGAGAGGCACCTCCAGAACGTGGTTTCACTCACACATGGTGGCATCGTACTGTGTGGAAGACCACAGTTTTGTTCTCACTTTTAATCAGATTAAGTAGTCCTGGGCTCTCCAGTCCTTGTGCTGTTTTGTGTGGACACAACTATATATGTAGTCAGAATGTCTAGAGGGTTGAATTGATCAGAGTTATAAATAGCGCGCACGTGCGTGTGTGTGTGTGTATGGAAAAGTGTGATCTATCAGCCAGACTGTATCGCTTTGTGAGGGCCATATTCAGGGTGAGACGACACTGTTCTAGTCACACTGAGCCCAGACATGGTCCTGTCACTCCACCTTCCATATTTGTTTAGTTGGATTGCTGCACATAAGCAAGGGGCAGAATGAAATTGCTGCTCTCCATTAATTAGTGTGCTATATATACACATGTAATATATACATATATGAGTATGTGCGTGAGCAGTCACTACAGAACAGCTGACACACGGCTCTTTTTCCTGTCCCAAAGCCCTCAGATAACACAAATGTTCATGTCAGCAGTCACCACTGTCTCACAGAAACATTAGACTTCTCTTTATATTCCTGCTTTAGAGATAATGGAACTTAGTCTGACATCAGAGGGAGTCAGCAAAAATACCCTGGATTATCTGTTTGACATGAGGATGACTCAGCTGAAGACCTCACCTTTCTTGTAAAAGGTCTTTCTAGCCAGCTGTTAGAAAGCCTGACAGCAGTATACACGATACACAAAATAACTTTAAGAACATTAATAGAGAACCTGGCTGGGGCTGTAAACATTGTACCCTTGGTCTGAGTAGAAATCGTGCTTTATGGAGACTTTTAGGGAAGGCTTGAAGGAATGGGTCCTGTGTTTGCAGAAGCAGCAGTGTGGTGGTTAGGAAGCAAGGCTGTGAGTTAGGACACATGAATTCACACTCCGCTTTATTGCAAAATACTGGTATGACCTGGAGTGAAGCTTTGTTCCTCGGTGTGTCTGTGAACCAGAACAAATTGTACTTCCCAGGTCCTGAAAGCCATATGTGGTAGAAGATGCTTGTGTATTTTAAGGTCAATACCTTAGAAGATTTATTACGTGACTTTCCTGTACACCTTAGTTGAGTGATTTTAACAAGTAAAATACCTGTGGAAAAGCCCTGTCTGTGGACTGATCCCAGTTTTGCAAGAAGATTTCTGTTTGTAGTAACAGTTTTCTATCTTGCTACTATTTCTGAGAAGTTTCTGGACAACTGAAATGTCCCTTTTAATGTTTTCTCTTCTTTTATTCTGTCCTCTGTTTCCCAGTCCAGGCATCTGAGAAGCTGCATGTGGGTGTGCTGGGATCTTGATGACTTGCTGATCTGGGTGCCACTCTTATAGCCCTTCCTCTGCCATTTGTTCATCCCCCCATTCCCCTACATCCGCCATCCATACCAACTTATCGCAGTCCTCTGCAAGTGCAGCTCTCTGCCTGAATTTACACATGATTGGTAACTGTGGCAGGGACAGGAACCTGAAGCGTTATTTTTGGCTGGATGTGTTGAGGAGTGCTGCTGCCCATGGGTTTTGGCTGAGGAAGGGGGACATTGCTAGGCCACAGCCAACCTTACAGGTGGAAAAGCCAAGCACTGCTGTAGCAGTTGTAACCCTTTTGGCTTTGGGATTGGCATCTCCGTGCCTTGGAGTGTGTGTGAGCATCACAGATTGCCTATGGGAGTGCTTTTAAAGTTCCCTTTATTTCTCTCATATGTCTGTCAGGGATGTACAAAGGCTGAAGAATTAGTTTTGCATCTAGCACAGGCTCTTAGTTTTCTCAACAAGAGAGGCAGCCATGTCAAAGAGAGAATAGCATCCTTAAGATAACGAGATGTCAAGTGCTACCCTCAGGTGATGGAACAGCCTAGCTATTGTCACTCAAGCTGTCCAGTATTAAAGAGCTGTGGACTCAGGAAGAAATCCTGAGTTTGATCCAGATTAAAAATACTTTCTTGTACTATTTTTGAGGGATTATTTTTAACTCGGACTGATTTGCTGATCCACCTTAATGGGAGCCTCCACAATAACTGTTTTGGGAGACCTTCAGGGCAATATGTTTTGAGATCAAGAGGCCAGGAACTGGAAGCTCCTCAAGCCAGCTTTGCTATGAACGAGTGTTGCATGGAAGAACACCCTCGCTTACAACAGCGAGGCAGAGACAGGAGATGGCTCTTTAGGTTGAGGTTACAGGACTTTAGATGGGTCCCATCCCCTGAGCAATGAAAACACAGCCAGATCTGTGGAACTTGTTGCTAGTTTCAATCCTGTTGTGGGACTGTGTTCAAGAGCAGATACGATATCTGAAAGAAAGTGATTTGGAAAGACAGGGGGATGAAGAGTGGTCTGTTGTCTTCCCTCACAGGTGAGACTGCTGAAACTTAAGTTTGTTGGTATGAAACCCCCACCCCCCTATGAGCACCAGGAGTGGTTCAGGTTCTGGTTTCACATTTCTTGGCCATGTTTTCAAGCCCACTGAAACCCATGAAAAGACTCTTCTGACACTAGTGGGCTTTGGCTGTCGCCAAAAGCTGGCTGCAGGAGCATGCTGTACTCAGGCTACATTAAATAACCACTCAGCTTGTTTCATTTCTATTGTTGTTATTTTTGTAATGTGACTGGTGCTGGTTAGATGGATTTGTGACTCTCTGAATCCTCTCTTGACACAAAGCACCGTGTGAAGAGCTTGGCATTTAGTAACAACCACATGCAGACACAGCAAAGGTTTATTTTTGCCTGCTGAAGAGTGTCTTATGAGGCCATGAAATAGAATATGCAAGAGCTGCCTTTGAGACAAGGGGAATTATTCCTTCTTTTCCTTTACCTTTTGCTTTCTTGGCTGCCTTTCAGTGGTGCCCACTATACAATGAGCAGTCCTGCTCGTGCGGATGGCCTTCTGCAATAGGACTGGTCAGTGTATAGTGTGCTCCAGGTGCTCCAGGTGTATTCACACCCGTCCCAGACAAAGAAGACCCTTGCCCTCCTCCTCATACCCAGTCAAAAGCACCACGCAGATGACACAAAGGGGCAAAGGCTGTGTCATGATTTAGGCTCTCAAACCAGGACAGGCTGCTTTTGCCATGGTTTGTGTGTGGCTGCTGACCCCACACACAGCACATTATGTGAGGCATTGGCACTGCTCTTGTGAAGCA